GGGCGGGGTTCCGTCAGGCAACGTCCGTAATACCAACGCCGAAAGCTAGCACATCGTAGACAAGGACAGCCGTCGGTCCATTGCCAGTTCCACTTACGCCCGCCGCCGCCGCCTCCGCTGGGTATGGAGCCGCAAGTGGTCATTGAGGGCGAACGGGGAAGCGTTCGCAGCATCAAGTGCGGTTCACGCATTCGCCGCGCGAGTCCGATCAGGTTCGCCAACGAGGCAACGGCGCCGGGAACGAGCGCATTTACGGGGCGATGTGCGCGCACTTCCTTTCAGGCAATGCCGGAATTCTAATGTTCCATTAATACGAGATTATCGTTAAGTTTCATGTGTGCTAGACGGACGCCGCGCAATCAAATGCATTGCGTGTAGAAACTGGATTGTCCAAAGGGTTGTACGGTAATCACATGACACAGAATTGGAGACCTGTTAAGAAATAATAACACACACTACATATAAACTGTAAATTTGCCTTCTCTTTCTTTTTGCTATTTCCAGTTTAGTTGTTGTTCATTTCTGTGTTTTTGTTGCTTTTTCTCCTGAATTTTATACTTGTGGTAATTTTTGTCAGCGTACGATGCCATTTCCAGTCTGCTACGAATTCCTTCCCAAGATTTGCCTTTCTCCAAATATTCTATATGGATAGTCTGCAATCTTAGCTTCCTTCGCCTTTTCCTTAATATCTCCCATCCAAGAGCCTGATGTAAGCAACCACTTAGAAGCATTAACATTGTAATTATATTTATCACTTTTGTATTATATATATGTATATGTATTATTAATACATATTTATATTAATAGTTTGTTTGTAACAGAGGATTTTAATCAAATCAATCCAATTCAATCAATCTGAGAGGTTTCAAAACAAGTAAAACGATATATAAGTGGGAAAGACAATCTTACCACGAAACATATGTAAATATATATACTGAACTGGAACTCGAACCCATAATCGGACATATGGCCCTCACTATTGCACCGTGGGATAGTAACAACGGTCAATTAAAAACCTCTGATAAACGCGTAACTATATTTAACTGCTAAGAAATTTATTTGCAATGAGTCAGATTATTTGAGTTTCCTTGATAATAATTGTACAATGTAAACAATGCAAAAAACACATAAGTCCGGTTCTGTTTGATACTACTGCCTCATTTTGATACGTTAATAAACGTTCTCACTTTCTGTTTTGCGTTTCCAGTTTGGCGATACGAGGCATAATGGCATTTTACCTTTAAATTCGCTGAACACTCAAAGTGTAGAATGCAAAGTGTAAATTTTCAAATATATATCGATCGCGATGGGTTTTTTTTTCGCAGAGGCAGGCGAAACTGCAATTTTTCTAGATGCTGATAATTTTAAATCGTCTTCGTCATAAACTTTGTCAAATAAATTATACGGGCGCGTCACTTGAAATACAGTACTCCTTACACTCCGATCTTAAGTGATTTTAGCTGTTATTAAATTGACACAGCAGTCGAGTTGTTATTTTATTGAGTTCGGTATTATTGCAATATACGTTTTTATTCACCCTTTATTTGTAATTGTATTATATAATGTAGAACAAAATGTCTGCGGCAAAACTTCATTAACAGAGGAAAATAATGATATATAAATAAAACTAAATAAATTCACACACAACTCACCGACAAGAAGTGTGTCTCGCGAAAGTAAAACAATGTGGTTGGCCTTACCTACAACACAAAAAAATACAATGCAGAGAGAGGCTATACATATTGAACCATATTAGATATAAAAATCCATTCAATTCTATTAGTAACGCTAATAAATAATATTTGACTTCAAAGGCATGGTTACTCGTAAGTAGTATTTTGTTAACAAAATTTGTAGTTTCACTCTAAAGTCGTGCATTAAGAGTTTTATTACGTGTAGGCTTACTTGAGGGGAGAGGATATTACTAAGGAAAACTACTATAAAGGAGGGAAAAGGATAAAAATTTGGTAATTTTGCGTTTTTTTCTAGAATAACCACATAAGTAAAGGCTTTTGAACATTTCTAAACAATAGAATTCGTAGACGAAGTGTTGAGCAGTAACAAGCTAGTCTAGGAGAAATTACAAGAAACATTTGTTCATCATGTAAAAAAAGGTAGTGGCGATATTTACCTCAATGCCATTCACAATCATAAATAGCCATTATTTTTCTTCGTACACACAATTGTAATGAATATGTGTATTATTTAAACAATGTCATGTTTTGAGATAGTAATTTTGAGCTAAATTGCGAGTGTCCCTTCTCCGGGAAATTTCTCTTTTACGCATGTCAACACAGCGTAAATTGTAGGCGGAACGTGTGCATTCCCATTTCATTTAACAAGGTAACATCTCTATAAATTGTGCTAAGTCTGTGACATCCAAAAAGTAGCCAATTTACAACCAAAACACCGTTAAGGGTGTAGATTACATTGTTGCACACACAGCACCTCATTCTCATCTCAATTAAACTTGAAAATACAGCCAAAGTATTTAAAACCAACCGCAAACTGATTCGTTTAATCACATTCGTTGAGTCTCAGTGAATGCTGAAATTGGTTTTATCCCGTTATCTGCCAGAAATGTAAAGCTACCATTGTAACCAGTTCATTAATACACTAATATAATAAATTAAAAACATCTAGAGTAAGCCTTACTACCTTTCACATTTATTTACTTTGAAAAGTAATTTATTTCATACAGAAGCATACTGAAATATATAAAAAAGGATGTGCAACATACTTTTCAAATTCCATATTTTTCTTAAATACCATCTATACCTTGAAACATTTCGTGATTTATCTGCTCTGTTACCCAATTGTTTTATAACGAGAAACACACTAATATTTCAGTGAGACTTAACCAACTCTGTATATTTTCTGCATCAAAATGAAAAATTTGAGAGTTACCAAAGAGTCTAGATTTTTGCGACAAAAATAACACTTAATTAAATTAATTTAAAAAATCTGAATTGACGTATTTGATGAGTTGAATTTATTCGATCGTGTAACGGAAGATCGCTAAAAGGTTATTAGCTATTTCTGCAAAAGTAAACACTATTGCGCATGTAAGCCTCTTCATGGTTCTTAGGCTTTTATAGCATTTGCGTTCAGAGCAAAGAGGGTTCCCTTGAGTTTTTCTTCTCGTGCGTTGAGAGAAAACAGGGTTCTCTTTTTACATTCAAACTGTCTCTCTTATCAAAAAAAGTTTTATTACTATCCTGTGCGATAACAGAAATATCTCTAGATGCCAAGGCATTTTAAATCCCATGATCTAATGTCTCGATTCCAGCGCATT